AGGAGTTTCGTTAGAAACTGACCGGAAGGAGGTCCACGCGCCGGCGCGTGGACAATTCTCGCCGGGAAAAAATCACTCCGGTCGGCGCGTGGATGGGTTTTTCCGGTGGGATTTTGTGGGGTTTGGTCGCCCGGAGACGGAGAACACTGTGGTAGTGTTAGTTTATGCACAACACCGGTAAAAAGTGGTTTTAATGCAAACAGCTACTCGAATCACCGGAAAATTGCACGGTGACGACTGATTTCTTCCCGGATGTCGTTGGAATGACGCACAACGATAATTATCTCACCAATGCTTTGATACCATGTGAGAATGCACGGGAGAAAATATATTATTGATTAATATTGACAATGATACAATGAGCCCTATATATATAATACATGTCCTACTCCTAATACATATGGGATTAGGGTTATTTACTACTATTTAACTATCAAACTAACATAGACTAGCTATAAATAGGACCTCTTGTATTATATCGAGTAACAAATATCAATAATAATATTTTTCTCTGTGCATTCTGACATAGTATCAGAGCATTAGTGAGCAACTTATCGTTGTGCATCATTTCAGCGAATTCCGGGAAGAAAGACCTCGTCGCCGTGCAATTTTTCCGGCGACTTAAGAGGCTATCCGCAACAAAATCAATTTCTGTTGGTGTTGTGCAAAACCCAACACCATCACAAGACTCCTTAGGCTCAGGCGACGAAACTCTAGTCAACCCCACCAGAAAATACCTTCCTACGCGCCATCACGTGCTAGAAAAAGAAAACAGATTCCGGCGAGATATGCTCCATGTGCGCCTTTCCGGACACTTTTTGAAAACATTTCCTTATGACAACTTGCTCGCAAGAGAATTCCGAGTTTATCCATGCTGATTACGACAAAATCCGATAACTTTGCAATTTTCTGGCGAGTTACAGTGTTCTCCGGTATGAACAGTGTTTTCAGTGTAAAATAGTCTTCTGCTTTTCTACCGTAAACATTATTTTCCCTGCTATTTCTTCAGTTCTCCCACAGGAGTTACTGATTTCCACTATTTAACAAGTTAACCCTACTACTACAAATTGCAGCGACATTGGAACCAATACTTTGAATAGTTGGATGGTTTCTTTGGTAGATTATATTGAGTTCCTTCAGTACAAAGCATGTAAGCAGACATCTTCTGAGATAGCTTCTGTTGTTCAAACAGGTAATAGCGTGACTTGTGTATCCCAATCTTCATCCTCTGAGTCTTGGGTCATTGATTCAGGTGCATCGGATCATATTTCTGGTAACAAATCTCTTTTCACTACTATTTCCTATTCTCAATCTATTCCGAGAGTCACAATGGCCAATGAGTCTCAAACCATGGCAACTGCAATAGGTCAAGCAAGCTCACTTCCTTCCTTACCTTTAGATTTAGTTCTTTATGTTCCCAATAGTCATCTCATAGCTGTTAGTCGCTTAGCCAAATCGCTTAAATGTGCTGTTTTATTTCTTGATGATCATGCCTTTATACAGGAACGCAGAATGGGGCGGATCATTAGTACCGAGCATGAATTAAATGGAATTTATTACCTTATCTTTGCTAAATCACATGGACTCACATCTTGTCTTGTTGCAACAACTTGTCCTGTTACTGATTCACCAGATTTATTACATAAACGGTTGGGACATCCCAGTTTGTCAAAACTTCAGAAAATGGTACCTGGTTTATCTCACTTGTCAGCTCTAGAGTGTGAGTCTTGTCAGCTCGGTAAGCATACTCGCTCCCATTTCCCTCGGTGTCTTGATAATCGAGTAGAGTCACCTTTCACTTTAGTCTATTCAGATGTTTGGGGTCCTAGTCGGGTCAGTTCCACCTTGGGATTTCGCTACTTTGTCAGTTTCATTAATGATTATTCGAGGTGCACTTGGATATTTTTGATAAAGTCGCTCTGAGCTGTTTTCTATTTTCCAGACCTTCCACGCTGAAATTCAAAATCAATTTGGGATTTCTATTCGCACATTTCATAGTGATAATGCCCAAGAGTATTTGTCTTCCTCATTTCAGCAGTTTATGGNTTATTAATCGTATGTCATCTTCAGCTATTCAGAACCAAGTTCCATTCTCTGTCATGTTTCCCCACTTACCTTTGTTCTCTCTTCCATCCCGTATCTTTGGACACTTGTTTTGTCCATAACCTTACTCCAGGAACAGATAAGTTAGCTCCCCGTGCTCTTAAATGCGTATTTCTGAGTTACTCGAGAACATAAAAGGGGTATCGATACTATTCTCCTGACCTCCAGCGGTAGCTTATGTCTGTTTATATTACCTTCTTTGAAACCCAATCATACATCATAGGTCCAGATAATCACTTAGATATTTCTGAGGTACTACCAGTTTCATCTTTTGGAGATTCAGTCACTATCTCTCATTCAACTTCCTCTACATCTCCAGCTCCACCACCTACAGCTCCAGTTGTAGCTCCACCACCTATAATTCTAGTTCCACCACCTACAACTCCAGTTGTAGCTCCACCACCTATAGCTCCAGTTCTTTCACATAATCCAGTTCAACCTTCTGCAACTCCGCCACTCTTGACTTATCATCATCGTCCACATCCAGCATCAGGCCCAGGTGATTCACGTTCCTGCATCAGATTCTGCACCTACTGCGGACTTGTCTCCTCTTAGTCAACCAATTGCACTCCGCAAAGGTGTACGATCCACACTTAATCCTAATCCCCACTATGTCTATTTAAGTTATCATCGTCTGTCATCACCTCATTATGCTTTTATATCTTCTTTGTCCACTGTTTCTATCCCTAAGTCTACAAGTGAGGCATTATCTCATCCAGGATGGCGACATGTTATGACTGACGAGATGTCTGCTTTACATGCGAGTGGCACTTGGGAGCTTGTTCTTTTTCCTGCAGGTAAGTCTATTGTTGGTTGTCGTTGGGTTTATGTAGTCAAAGTCGATCCGGATGGCCAGGTTGATCAGCTTAAGGCTTGTCTTGTTGCAAAAGCATATACTCAAATTTTTGGGCATGATTATAGTGATACTTTCTTTCCTGTGGCTAAAGTAGCATATGTTCGTCTCTTTTTGTCCATGGCTGATGTACGTCATTGGCATCTTTATCGGTTAGACATTAAGAATGCTTTTTTCCACAGTGATCTCGAGGAGGAGGTTTTTTTTATGGGTAAATAATATATTATATAAATATTTGCACCAAGCCAGTGCAACAGGCGTAATTACAGGTTGTGTAAATCAACAATTGCGTCTAAAATATCATCTACATCAGGTGCAAAAGCCAGTTTGCACCAAAAAGCAATCAACAAAATGCAACCACCTGGTTTTGTATGGAGCAACCATCTGGTTTTGTTGCTCAGGGGGAGTTTAGTGGTTGTGTATGCAGATTGCGCAGGTCACTATATGGTTTGAAACAATCCCCTCGAGCTTAGTTTGGTAAGTTCAGCACAATTATTCAGGAGTTCGGCATGACTCGTAGTGAGGCTGACCACCCTGTGTTTTATCGGCATTATGCTCATAATCTGTGTATTTATTTGGTGGTTTATGTTGATGATATTGTTATTACTGGCAATGTTCAGGATGGTATTACTAATCTGAAGCAGCATCTCTTTCAGCACTTCCAGACTAAGGATCTGGGTAGATTGAAGTATTTTCTAGGTATTGAGGTCACTCAATCTAGCTCAGGTATTGTTATTTCACAGCGGAAGTATGCCTTAGACATTCTTGAGGAGACTGGAATGATGGGTTGCAGGCCTATTGACTCTCCTATGGATTCGAATGCTAAGCTTCTGCGAGGACAGGGAGAGCCTCTTAGAGACCCCACGAGATATAGGAGGTTAGTTGGCAAATTGAATTACCTCACAGTGACTAGACCTGACATTTCTTTTCCGATGAGTGTTGTAAGTCAGTTTATGGATTCTCCCTGAGATAGTCACCGAGATGCAGTTGTTCGCATTCTTCGGTATATAAAGTGAGCTCCAGGCAAAGAATTACTATTCGAGGATCGAGGCCACGAGCAGATTGTTGGGTACACAGATGCTTATTGGGCAAGATCACCTTCTGATAGACGTTTTACATCTGGATATTATGTTCTAGTAGGAGGTAATTTGGTCTCTTAAGAGCAAGAAACAGAATGTAGTTGCTCGTTCTAGCGCCGAAGCCGAATATCGGGCCATGGCTATGGCAACGTGTGAGTTAGTTTGGGTCAAGCAGTTGCTCAAGGAGTTAAAGTTCGGAGAAATCAGCAAGATGGAACTGGTATGTGATAACCAAGTTGCTCTTCATATTGCGTCAGATCTGGTGTTCCATGAGAGGACTAAACACATTGAGATCGACTATCACTTTGTCATAGAAAAAATACTTTCTGGAGATATATTGTTACAAAGTTTGGAAAATCAAATGATCAACTAGCAGATATTTTCACGAAGTCTCTTACTGGTTCTCGTTTTAATTACATGTGTAACAAGCTCGGTACATATTGAGGGAGAGTGTTAGTTATGTATAGTCCCACATTGGAATGGGAGTAATATGTACTTTGTAGACTATAGCTATAAATAGGACCTCTTGTATTATATTGAGTAACAAATATAAATAATAATATTTCTCTCCCGTGCATTCTCACTTATTTTTTGTGCAGAACATCTTATAGTTTTTCCAGGCATCTAAAAACTCGGATACTTTATAAAATGTCCAAAACTTTCAGAGACCTAAGTGGACAGGTATCTGATACACTTATCCTTGCTGGATTACCTAGCGGCACTCATAGGTCTTACTAAAGTGTTTTGATCATGTCAAACAATGCAATGGTCCATGACAAATTTCTTTTGTTTCTTCTTTTCCTTGCTCCTTACGCATTAGATACAAGTCCACTACTCCACTTGAAAATAAACAAAGAAAAAGATGAGGAAAAAGAACAGAAATATCAACATCTGTTGCCAACATATATATATATATATATATAATAGATCCACATGCTACTGCTGATTCATATAAAATCTAAGGCAGAAAAAGGGGTGAAGGGATGTTGCACTTGTACAAGGGCCTTATAACTTTTTTTTTGAGAAAACAAGGGCCTTATAACTAAAGAGGTTATTTACACATGCAACCACAGATTTAACAAGTAAAATGCTAAAGATTTAAAACGTTCACCTTCCAGAAGCTTATTATCATATTATGTCCATCATTTTGGAGAAATAATATGGTCTATGCGGTGATACTGTTACTCAATTCCATGCTAATGTTATCGAGTGTCTATGTGCCAATTAGTGTAGCACTAGTATCCAGGACACAATATAAGTAAGAAAAGATATATGAACTCTTTCCAACCTGAGCTGCCACTGCCGCTCCATCTTTGAAACCAGCTTGACCAACACCAGCTAATGTAGTCACCCTTCTACTAACTGGATCTAATTTCTTAATCTGGCAAGTTAAACAAAAAAGAGAAGCTTCAACTTACATAGAGATGTGTCTGTTACAGTACGAAAACAAGTAGTTCATTGTCGAAACATAAGTTACATATGAAATATGAAAATGGATTCTTTGAACTTGAAACAGCAACTAGAAGCATATGAAATATCTCAATTCAAGCTCACTAGCTGATTGAAAGAAGAAGCTCACATATGCCATCTTAAAGCAGCAATATGGCCACAAACTTTTGAAACCTAATATTTCGCTTATGTTCTTCATATCTGCCATCAGGCACCACAATTTCAGCAGATAAAAATTTATTTACACATCTCAATTTTGGGTTAAGCATACTTATATTTATTGGCTTTGACATCTCAATCGTAAATTTATTCAAAAGTAGGAAACCAAAATCTACACTGTATGTTGTATCATTGTTGACATATGCTGTCACCTTGATATTGCAAGTCAAAATGCTATTTAACACTCCTATCAAGTGTTATCGACAAGTCGTTGCAACTAAATCTTTCACCGCCGGGTTTCAATCTCACCAAAGGCTCTTCCCTCTTCTATCTTCTCCTCCCCCACTTTTCACAGATCCACCCCCCATCCAAAAAGATTTTTTTAGACCAAAAAGGTGCAAGTTAATATGACGAGCTTTGGTCAAGTCCAAATAACTTGAAACAAGACTCTCCAGATTATGTATTAAAAAGAGCAAGGGGTCTCAAGGGCCTATTTCTTCCTTCTTTCTTTTGATGGACAATTGTTAATAAAACCATATGTGATTCATGCCAAAGCCCATCGAAGGATCTTATGATGATGGTAGAGAGAGAGAAGGATAACAGTAATTTAAAGGGAGATGGGGAATGAAGAGTATTTTTTACTATCGCACATACATTCATGGCTTCCTACCAAAAACACAACTAAGAATGCAGTTAGGCAACCAAATCTGATAATACCATCAATAATTGCAATTAATGTTTCTTCCTTTTGAGGTCTCTCTTCTAGAAGCATATCTGTTTGGTCTTTTCCACTTGAATCATACGTTGATAATAGTAGAGACATATATTAAAGTAGTGATTGAGAAGATAGTTTGACAAAGAAATATATGTCATAGTTAAAATTAAATTAATAAAGCAATTACATTTCTTCTGAACTAGTGAAAGTAAAATAAGATAATATTACTAGGAGAAGAGTGTAAAACATCATAGATGTCATAAAATTTTGTATTTACTGTCAAGAAGTTTGTTTTTTAAGTACCTTGTGATTATAAGAATCTGCAATATAAATTTGGCCAGACTTTCCACATAAAACACCTAATGGATGTTGAAGAAGAACTTCAGAGCCTATTCCGTCATGGTCTCCGAACTGCACCGGTAAATGTTTCTTTAGCAAGTTTTGTTGTGTCACAAATGTAACTTAAGCATACTAGAGAATCAAAATCTCATTTTTTGGCTTCAAACAGAAATACCCTAAACAAGTTTTCCGCCATTATTGGATCACCACCAGCCAGTAATCTTGAACCTCCAGTTCTTAGATCAACTGCCCGAATGGAGCTACTCTCACTATCAGCAATATATGCCTCCTTTAGATCTACAAAAAAAAAAAGGTAAATCAATTGGTTTCAAAGGAAAAGGTAAAAACAGTATACCAGTATTTAAGAACAACCTATTACTCGTTAAGAGAATTACCACGTGATAATGAAATCCCAGAAGGTTGTGCAAATGATGTGTTTGTTGAGCTTTCCCATGCCAAGAAAGAAGAAGATACATAACAGTAGTAAGAATTTCAGCAAGTTCGCCTAAAGTGAGTGGAAAATGATATGAGATGTTCTCACAACTAGCACATACAAAGTCATACAATGAGAGAATCTCAAAACTCAAAAACTAAGGGTACAAAGCTGGGTTCTTTTTTCTAAATTACATAATTGTTTCCCTGTTTGCTTTTGATTGCAAGCCCCTGCTGATTCATGGAGATCAACTATTTTCACCATATGTTACTAGGAAGTTATAGCATAAGTAGCCAACAGAGAAAAATTAGCTAGAGCTAATCAATTTTTCACTAGTAAGAGATCCAGAGCACATATCAAGACCAAAAAGGAGGTGTGTGTTCTTGCTTAGAGAAAGATGTTTCTTGTACTCTTCACGTTCAAACATATAAGTTAAATGATAACATTGGAAGTCCAGAGGAAAATGGTTCCACATTTATAATGGGAACTTTCAGTAAAAATTGAGGTTTAAATGCCAACCCAGCTAAATTCACATGTACTTTGACAACTAGTCCTATCTTTGCGTATACCACTCCAAAAGCTCATTCCATAAAACTCTTTCTGTTTCCAAAAAAATGAGAGAAATTTAGGAAAAGCCTACTCAGGCTATTCATCAAAAAGAAGAAACATATCCATGTGGTCCTAGAAAGTGAATACACCGATAGGATTACAATGCATGTGCAAAGCAGTGAATAAAAAATCACGAATTTCTGCTCATTTTTGGTCTTTATTTGTTGATCAGTGAAAGATCCTATTCTCAGTTGGCTTTCCCTCGCTCTAGATTGACATATGGATCTCTCTCTCTTTTTATCAAAAAGAGGAAAAGGTACCTTTTCTGCAAAAGGGCTTGGAAAGTAGTTTAAAATAGAAAACACCTCAAAAGAAAATGTGACAGGACTCCAACAGATGATAAATCAATAATCAATCAATCAGCTACACTTCATCCTCAAATAAACAACTAGCACAAATGATCAGCGTTCTGCTGCAACTCCGCTTAACCTAAAATACATGCAGATAAAAAAATATTACCTTGAACCATTCTGATTTCTCTCAAAACCATTCCCACTGAAAGCTCTTGTAACTCCATCTGATGTCTCGTGCACCCAGATCTGATGCTGACCGGCCATTGCAATGTAAATAATTCCGTTCTCAGGTTCAAAACAGACATCCCAGGGAGAGTTGAGAAGCTGAAAACATGACCAAAGATGTTCAGTTACAAAGAAAAAAGGATGATTAACCAGACTGTATTTGAGACTGATCTAAGAGAAAGATTGGATTAGAGAACGAAACTACATCATCATGGGAATAAGCTTGAGCTAACTGGCACCAGTTTTATCACCAAGATATTATTTATTTACAAGTTTCCAGATATCATAAATTTGATCCGATCTTGCCTGTGCAGTTCCAGTTCCTCCTCCTTCATAATCAGAACCTTTTGTTCCATTTCCAGCAAGGGTTCGTACTGTCTCATTCACAAAGTCAATGACCCTACAGATGTAAAACTCAATATGTTGTTAAAACTGAAAGATTCATCAAATTTTCCAGGAAAAGAACAAAGTTGTAATCTCATAAAAAAACTACAAGCACATCATGCGAACTAAAAATGAAAATTGAAGGGACAACTTTCATCTGTCAAAAATACAAAAATTGGGAAACAGAATGTTTAACCTCATGTTATCAATCCTACAGGGAAATGGGGTAGGTATGTTCAATGTGTTAAAAAGTTTTTAGAATGACTTATCACAGTAACTCTGATAATGGCTTGAATAACTATGAAATGGTTTCATCTAATGAGCAAACAGCATCAGAAGCCTTTAGACTTCTCTCCTTAGAATCATATTCCAACATTTCGATGGCCGATCAGAATTGTCTACACCTTTTAATCCATTAGATTAATGGCTAACTGAGAAGAGTTAACAAGAAATATGCACTTGTTCTTACTAACTGTTTGAAAGACATCTTTTGAATTTGAACAGAAACTATAGGGCTGAAAAACACAAATTTTTGGTACACCGGCAGAATAAAATGGAGTAAACTGAGGATTTTTATTAATGCTTAGAATGAGTGAGTAGCTAATACATGAAATAGTGAACCTGTTGCCTTACAATTCTCACAATAAACTTCAAAACCTAGTGAAGCCAAAGTTTCCCACGTACCAATGGTTAACCACTTGGTATCTTTTTGGGTGGGACAGATAGATTAGTCAAAACCAAACTTAAAATTAAATGAAAAGGAGTATCGCATTAAAAAGTACAGAATGGTTATCAACAAGTTACAAAAAATTGAAATATTTATATTCTGCCATTGTAATTTTCAGTTGAAGAATATTGATTCCAACTGTTATTTTTTTTTTTTCAGAGAGTTTTATTTTGAAGCTCCAAAACATTGGTTCTAAACTAATGATCAATGAATTTTATCACAATTATCAAGTACTCGGATACATCTGAAAATCAAATTTAGCATATGATATGGAAACAATGATGTTCTCCATTCAGACTACCTTCAACTACTTTACCATCCTGTATTCCACTACGACTAAAAAAATATGTAACTCAAATCAACATAACTCCATGTATTATCAAACTATTTCATGTAAACTGAGACAGAGGATACCATTATAGCGCAAAAATTTCCCATTTTAAGAAAGACAAAAACACATTTTGAATCCATCACAAAAGTCCAGTTTTTTCTCTTATAATCACTGAGGAGCAAAAACTTCTTCATGCAAACAAAAATGATGAGATTAGATTCCAATATACCCTTTGGTCAATCCAAGCTTTTCCCGGTAATAAAAAGCATAAATAAACCCACAACGTCAATTTTATCCTCCTTAACTTCTCCAAGATGAAGGCATAAGCATCTAATGGGAGGAAAATATGCACGGAAAAGGAGAATCCATAAAATAAAAAATAGATGAGACAGTCATTTGTATGAGAAGTAAAAACATATATGTCTAGCCCAATAACAGACATGCCTCTTCTGCCAGTACCTTAAAGCATGGTTTTCAGTATCTGCCACATATAAGAGGTTTTTCTTCGCATTGTAAGCCAGACCCTATAAAAGATAATAAGATGTAAGATATGAGATCTTTGCAAATGGGAAAAAGTAAACAATCCAACTTTTTAAGAGAACAAAAAAGTTATAACAATTACCTGCGGCCGATTGAATGTGGCATCATCAAAGTTACCATCACGAAGACCCTCTGCTCCTGTGCTTCCAACTTGGACTAGAAAATTTCCTTCTAGATCAGTTACTACCTGTTCACATGTGAAAATTGTCCGGGTTTACTAATTCTACCATTCAGCTCACAAGGAGAAAGTGGAAAGGAGGAAGGCAACTAACAATAGTATGATCATAAGGGTAATGCAGGTCACTCAGACAGTACGGGACATGCGGGAAAGTTCTGATTATGGGAAAAAGTATCAGAAGAAAATCAGGGCCTCATTTGTGAGACTGGGATGGACTAAGAAAGGAAGTGTAATGTAATAGAATGAAAATATTTCCTAGAAGAGAGCAAAGAAGAACCAGAACGTATATAGAAGGAAACACAATTTCCTAATCAACTTCTGAGTCCCCCACAAAGAATGAACAAGTTCTGTAAGAAAAGCAGAAGGGTAAGAAACGAAATCTACAACAGTTACACACATAACATGCAAACCCTTCCTTATCCTCCCCTAGCATGGTTTCTATCTTCCTCGTGAATTTTCATTCTAACATATTCTTTCCCATTGAATGCTTGTTTCCTGTGCAAATTTCAGGTTTTCCATTTTCAATTGTTTCCCCGGACGATGTATGCCAGAAGCTGTTATTTCTCTAGCAAGGAGAGAGTTTTCAGCACTCTGCATCATATCACTAAGGTACAGGACATCCCTAGCAGCTTCCAATCTTAATTCTTTGTTCTTCCATCACCAAATTTGGATAAAGAGACTGCTAAATCTTTCAACCTTATTTTCTATATTCCAGTTTGACATCACCCAAATTTCCATATTACCATTACTATACACTCACCTTAGCAATATTATCCCCTGCCTTCTCAACTAAATATATAAAGATTGATCTTATCTTGGCATAGCCCTAATCTTTTCATCATACTTTCCTCTTTTAATTTTCTGTAGCTTCCTCTTGTAGATATTTTACAGCACTTGTTGCCGATATCAATATACTACCTTTAAATATTTAAAAAAGATATTCCTATTTAAATTCTCATTTCCAACAGTAAATACGGAATTGGAAACTCCTGCAATCCAAGTGTTAGAAACATCTCGCTTTATTAACTATCATTAATGCATTTTGAACTTCAAGCTTGATATTGTTCAATAACCCCATGGTCAGTTCATAACTTCAAAAAAGCAGCATACCCTGAAAAGAGTAATCATAACAACTTGATGCTACAGACACCAACCACTTTCTGCAGTTCACGCATTTGAACATTCTCAAAATAATAAAATAACCATATAGAGAGAAAGATAGAGAGGAGAGATAGGAAGAACCTACTATTCGGTTATGATTGCTGTCTGAAATAAATAGCCGGTTGTTGAGGATATCAACTGCCAGCTTACCAGGGAACTTTAAAGGAGATGTTAATAAGCGGGGATCATTATCTTTCTCCAAGCGCAAGGGAATGGGTGTGCTATCCAAGAGCTTCTTCCTACCATAGAACAGAAGAGCAGCCTCGACTAAATAATCAAGATCCTACAAGCCAAAGCAAAAAACATCGAAATGACAGCTAGTTCTTGTCAATAATTTTCACTATCAATTGCCGGAGACCACATTGATTAGAAAGAAATATGTAAGAGGCCATTTGCAATAATCAAATAGCAAAAGAAACTCTCTGTTACAAATTATATCATCTGAAGGAAGTTTCAAGGCATAAAATAGCTAGAGAAGATAGGGAAAAGGGAGAAACTCCAATATGTAGCTTCCATAAGAATGTCTTCCATGAAGTTGCACATTAGATAACAGGAGATTTGAAGAGAGCGAAGCGCAGCATATTATCTCAGAAGTTTTCTTTCACAATGCACTTTGAAAGGTGTTCAAGAATTGAGTGTATTATATCAGTTGTCAAGTTAATAAGTGAACCATTTTCCATCATCTCATTGTAAATGTGTTAGATAATTCCAGTATACACACTACTATTGCATGAAACAAAAGAAAAAGGAAATCCATAAGAAACCTTTCTATGACCTTCACCAGCTAATTGTGCCAAGAGTTTGCCATTTGGCCCGACAAGAGCAAACGTTGGCCATGAATTTACACCTAATTCCCGCCATAAATTCATTTCTCCATCATTAACAACCTGATCATTCAAAAGAATCAATTAATTAAAAATCCATTGCCTGCTATAAAATACAACATATAATCCCTCAATCCTAAGACTAACCCCCTAAGGGATTGTACTAAATGGAAGCAGAGAATTTTCTTTAGAAAAAGGAAATGAGTAGACTGGAAAGATAGAATCAACTAAAAATTAAAGCTGATATTTTTGACATGATAACAATGTCAAATTTCAAATTACCCTATTCACCAGAATTTCAAACCTGAATTATAAACTTCAGGTATGAACAAAAGCTTCAATTGGAAAAATGAATTATATAAATTGTTACACAATCCTTAATCATTAACAATGAATTAGCATGTACTCCCTGCTGTAGAATTTATGGAGTCCCCAAGGCTCAGAAGGTTCCTTTGGATTAGAAAATGGAGGAAAGGGTGGGAGAGGTTGCCAAGACAATGTACAATAATTGGAAAGGCAATCTTAACATAGCCAAGCATGGTGTAGATAGCAGCGCTGATTCTATCTTAATCTACCAAAAAGGAGTAATATATAACCTAATATAGGTGAAGTGGTTTCTTGGCAGAGAAGAGGGTCTAAAAGGCTCTTGACTAATAAATGTGTCAACATCATTTAGAAGAATTAGTATACCTAATTTAGACGTGATTGCCATTATTTAAATGTTACAGAAGGCAAACCAAAACTCTACCACTGATTCATTTGGTTGAATTAGCTTGCATCTTAGAGTACTTTATAATCATATCCTAGCCAAAGTTTGTGCAAGTTGGTTATTAGGATCTCATGGTCAACAATCATTTTACAGTTCATCTGGTATACTTTATGTTCTAGTTAGAAGAAACAAATTCTTGGGCCCACTGGAGAAGGTACCAAAAGTACTAACTGAAAACCCAGGTTTTCCAATAATAAGCAGAATGAGGATGCTTTAAATTTTGTGCACACTAATATTGTTTCCAAATGTTCATGTCATTTCTTCCATCTCAAAAAAAATTAATTTCCATCTAAAAAAACTGTTCATGTCATTTCTTGGGCAACTAATAGATTCAAGACCCAAGCAGGTTGTGCTTATTGGAAAGAATCATCACACACAAAATCAGTAATACTCCAGCTCATGAATAACTACTTACTGGATGAGTAATTCCATAGCGCAATACAGCACTGCGGATGGCTTCAAGGTCCTTCTCGTTATCAAACTTTGCCGAATGCACCCCCACAACAACAAACTGCAAAACTAATGTTTGATGAATCAGCTACTGTGATTTAGAAGTGTGTATGCAAACCTTCAGAGGCATCTGTGGATAAGAAATACTAAATTGATAACCAATATTAGCTTCTTCTCCTGTTATTTGGATAAGAAATATTGGCTTCCTCTTAAAAAAAGATTCTTTTATGAAAGGGGCATGAACAATTATCTTATGTTCATTTCACGCATATGAGACTAGCAATTATTTGAGGTCGTGCTATCTTTATTAGTTTCAGGTTCTTTATTTATTTGTGTTTTACGCATGTCCTATATTGATTTGACCGTCAGTATTAACTCAGAAAGCTAATAAATTAGCCCAATTAAAAGCTACTAAAGCTCCTTCTTCTTTGACAGCACTAGCAATCTGCAAAACTCATTTGATGCCTATTCTCAGACGATCAAATTGTAGTAGACAGAATAACATTTCAATAAAGCTGAGACTGAAACCCTAAAGGTGAAAGGGTGAAAGACAATCTTACAGGCATATCTTTATATTTTCTTTCTAGAAACTCCAGATCTGGCAGTACATGCATACAGTTAATGCAGCAGTAAGTCCAGAAGTCCAAAAGAACCACTTTTCCTTTCAAATCCTGCGCAAACATAGAAATGTTTCAGGGAACAGGTGCATAGTAATAGCATGGATATATCATCCAGAACTCCTCCTTTTTCCATTTCCTGGTAAATATATGCAACTTAGAAACATACCTCCAAGAAACAATAAGATTTAAAGTACTATTCAGCAGAATAGATATTTTTCAAATTCATAATGGTGTAATAGGCTATGTTGCGAGGATTCTCCAAAATGTAGCCGCACCCGTGTCGGATCCTTCAAAAATGCACTACTTTTGGAGGATCCGACACGTATCCTGCCACATTTTCGGAGAATCCGAGCAACATAGGTAATAGGTTGTCTCACATCTGCCTAAGCCTTGAGGGGCGACGTCAGAGTTATCTTGTACATGTGTTGGTGGGAGGTAGTAGGTACCCGGTGGAATAGTCGAGGCGCGCACAAGCTGGCCCGAACGCCACCGTTAGAAAAAAGGTATTCATGGTTGTCACCAAAAGCTTTTTGTAACCAATGCCCTAGTCAAAAGATCCTTAACATTATCTCAAAAGGATAATATGGTAATCCATTAAAATATTACAACATATTGTGAAACAACACTATTATATTTGGAAGGAATTTCTCTACAAGTTTCAAGAATTTTATGTACACATGTAGTCAATAGAAAACGTCATTTAGACAATTTCAAAACTGATAGCAGTAGATACCGAAAAGTTTCCAGAAGAATTTTTGCATCAAGACTGAAGAATGACAGAAGAACATAAATATGCACAAAAGAAAAATAAGTCATAAGAAAAAGAAATAAATTTGCCAGAAGAAGCAGAATTTAAAGATGGAATTATGTATTTACCCTGCGTAGCTGAAGGGGGGCTGTATTCAGCCAATCAAGTTTAGATGGGAACTCAGGCACAATAGCCGTAGATTTCCTAACAAAATGCAGAATATTAAACATGATAAAATAAGCCAAGAATCCACGATCAATTAAAGAGAAGTATATCAAGATGTAAGGATTCACAAGATGCCAGAATACATGCAACATAAATGATAGTGATTTCATAATGTAGGAAATCTGCAAACTAAAATTAAGCTTCAAAATACATAAAACCCTATGTTTACCTGGCGTCCACATCAGAAATATAGTCTACAAATTGTTGAATCCTCTGCGAACGGGATGCATCTGCAGTGGCAACAGACAATAAAAAATAATCTCCTTCCATTATATATTGCAAGAAATAAAAGGAAAAAAAGAAAGGAAAAAGAAGTAGCCCATGTTTCATATACAAAATGGATAGAAGCCGTATTGGAAATGCACAAAAATAAGAGAAAAGATAGTGCTATTGAGAGAAGTTTTCTACAGCAAGAAGAATGGAAGAATGAAAATAAAGAGCAGATAACAAATACTTCATCGTAAGAGGAAGACCTTCTTTCTGTTCAAAAGGAGGACTGCCTGTGCCAAATAACAAGTTCCAGATAGCTTTTGGAGATGCATACTGCATTGCCTGCATGGGAACAGCAAAGCTTGCAAAGATGAACAAAGAAAATTATAAGGAAGCCTTCACTTTCTTTCTCCTACGCTCTGCTTTCTTTAAGTTTTATACCTTCCAGTTTGTAATGGTGAAGAGCAGACAGGATGCAGCAATTCCTAAACTTCCATATCTTACAACATCGCGTCTCGTAACCTGCACCCTGTCTGACAAATTATTTCTGCAACCTCACGACAACTTTATACCAAATGCCCTAAATGGCAATCTCGTAAAGCATCATGAAATGGACCCTTTTTGGGGACAAAAGTATCCCACTTTGCAAACGAGAGAATTTCATTTGTATGAGCATTATTCATGTCACTCTCTAAGCATATTTGATCCTACATGCAGCAAAATAAAGCATGTAACTCAGTGATTATATATACATCAGGTTAGAATAGATTGATAAGCATATTGCCAGTATGCACTGTTCTTAGCAATTCGACTTACTCCAGGTAAAGTTTAAGAAAAGAATCTCAGAAGGGGAAAAAAGGGAAAGAGAAAAAAAAATTATGAAGCTACAAATGAATACAGCCATTCGAGGTATTAGATATGAAAAGTGGCCATGATGACAAAGATGATCTAATTTTGATGATCAAGATATTGAATCCCTCTTACCCTCCAACTGAAGATACAGCACCACTGGTTGGATAATTATCTGCAATACTCTCTGTCCTATTGGATTCAGGGGAAGAAACAGCTAGATCAATAATGGATTGGGATTCCTGCACCATCACATCTGCAATGTTTGTCATCATAAGATTCATTATATAGTAAGCATAGAAAGGAAGCCACTATTAACCACAAAGGATATGCTAGAGAAACATCAGAACCAGCAGCTTTCCATCAACTAAGTAAAAGACAATAGTTAGCAGCTAAAGCATACAGCTTAAGGGAGCTGAGAACAGGAAATCCTTCAAATAATAATTGAGTCAATACAAGAAACAGCTTATTCGCAAGTTTTTTCATAGTGACACACAAGAGCTTCAGTATTCTACATTTGTCAATATTACATGAAAAGGGCAGTTCTTAACATGTTGGTGAACTACATACTATGGCTACCAGAGCCACCACCATTGAGGATATCTTCAATTGATATATTGCTTATCTCCTTTCTGATGAGTGTTGGCTCCGCTGCTTTTAGAGTATCTTCTGACAGAGTTGTCGTCACAGCGATACATCTGCAAGTAGGTCAACATACTTAAGAATATAGAAGAAATGGAATCAAAATGGTCACTAAAACGAGAACCAAAGAGGGAAAATTAGAATGATGTTGATACAACTCATTGATTCAGTTGACAAATGCAACAAATGAAGAGGAAAGTCCAAGTACGGTCAGTGTTACCTTTTTTGAGAGAAGGGTAACTATATTAAGAAAAATCAACACCAAGACAGCACTTAATATTTACAAGTTGAGCCAAAAAAAAAAAGTGCCCTTTCTATTCTTCTAGGGATTCTAAGAGGAGTAGAGTCAGGGTTACCAACAAGTTTGAATGAGTGTATGTAGTCCAACTATATAAATAAAAGGAAAAGGCACTCAGATTGCAAATACCTCATTTTCGCAGCTTTGGCAGCTTGTACTCCGGCTAATGCATCTTCAATCACAATACACTGTCAACATAGAGGATTATGATAATGTCTACCAAGATCGACAAAAAGAATGCTTATTTGCTTAAAACATCAAGATTCATCAGCCTCGGATGATAAACCTTCAGCAATTCATAATGCGCCATCATTATTTTATAAAGAAAATGATGTATCCAAAATTAGAAAAACTGTTCTCACTGACAGAACGTTTGACAATTAAGCATCTCTTTCTGTCCAGAAATTTTAATTTTCAACATACAAAATAAGAACATACTTATTGTTAGAGATAGCTATGTAATTGTCCCACATTGAAATAGGAGTAGTATCCCATTTGTATAGAGTAGCTATAAATAACACCTCTTGTATTGCATCACACACCATATATCAATATATATCATATTTTCTCCCGTGCTTTCTCACATGGTATCAGAGCTATCGTGAGAGATTTATCGTTGTGCATAAATTCCAGCGATTCCGGGAAGTAAAATCAGTCACCGGAACCCTTTTTTCCGGCGACTTTCAAAGTTGTTTTGCGTCTGTTTTGTCTCGGTCAGTGTTGTGCACAAAATCCAACACTACCACAAGAGTAGTCACTGTCCGGCGACCAAATCCCAGTGAAAAATCTCCGGCGGTACTTTAGTTGTCCAAAGAAAATTTTCCTGCGAAGTTCCAACGTTGCGTGGGCCACCTTCTGGCCATTTTTTGGCGATGACTCTTCAGGACAGATTGTTTCCCTTGCAATTCCGAGCTTACCCATCCAGGTTACACCAAATTCCGACCACTTTTTTATTTTTCCGGCGTGAATAGTGATTTCAAAAAAAAGGGTGGACTTCCGGCCATTTTTTGAAAAAATTCTTTCAGAACAGTTGGGTCTTCTGGTAATTCCGATCCTAACCCTACTGTTTTTATTTCATTCCGACCACTTTGAATATTTTCCGGCTGCAACAGTAACTTTCCAACTGCTACAGTAGTTTCCTATTCTGGTTCAGTGTTCCTTACTCTATTTTCAGTGGATTACAGTTGATTATTTCTCTTTATTGGTAATAATTTACAAGATGTCTTTGGGAATTGATGTTTTTGGGTCTAAAAGCATGAGTTCT